GAGATGCCATCCTTAGTTACTGCATCAGTCGGAGACACAGAGAAGACTTTATCACACGGGGGAAATCCCATGCAGAAATGGGGTTTTCAATAGGGAAAAACCCAGCAAAAGTGGGTAGATTTTCAGATATGTCGATTTTAAACTGTGCTTAATCCGAACAGAAAGTAATCAAAAGCCGCTTCTTTTTACTTTCAGAAAATCCCAGGTTAAGCAGTTTAAAAGCGATGTGTGTGAAAATCTACCTGCTTTTGCAGGCTTCTCCCATGTTTTAAATCCCATTTCTGCACAGGATTGCCCCTGCATGATAAGGTCCTGAGGTTATCAGATGCCTGTTTTATGAAAGGAGATGCACTGAACATATCAGACACCATTAGAAGACACTGCTAACAGTTGTTTGGAGCAGAGCAATAAGTGTACTGGCATCCACTATGTGGAATAATCTTCCACCCAATGTTCAACATGCTTCAACAATTTTTGTTTTTTACACACCTTGAAAACTTACTTGTTCTTTCAAGCCTTCCTTGTGCAGTTCAATGTCTCATCTATTTCAGGGAGAAACATCAGATCCACTCTAATTTTGTCTTATGTTGTATCATATGATTTATCATTCTTCTCCCATCATTTGTTCCTGAGTTCCTGGAGCTACAAGTGAACTGCCCACTAATGAATCATACCATTTGGTATGCATATACATGTATATACCTACTGTCCTCCATGATCATCATGTAAATCAAGCAAAGTGTGTGTCAGTATGTGAAAGCTTGTGTCACAGTTTCTAAAGGGAAGTCTCAAGATTCTTTCATACTTGTAACAGCTACTCAACATGCCTAGTAAAGCAGGGTTGGAATCATCTGGCCCTCCAGATGTTGTTGGATTGCAACTTCCAGCCCTAGCCAGCATAGCCAACAGTGATAAATGTTAGGAGCTGTGGCCTGTGATCCCCACCCTGCAATAATGGCTCTCTCAACCAACAGATTCTGACACCATATAAGTAATCTGTACCTCTCTCTATTGGCTCTCAGGCTTTCAATTCTGCAGTTATGTCCACAGATTGAAGCCTTTCTGGAAGCCAAGGCTTCTGCTGAATAGACCCTTCAGCCATTTCCATTCTCCTGTTGTGTCATAAAATGATTGTGTTGATTCAGTATATTGGGAATGGCCCTCCACAAGTGTGAATAAACACAATCATCCCAACTTTGTTCTATTGCACCAATTATTGCTGCTTTGAATCATCAAGCTATATTTATGTGCATCTACACTGTTGAAATAGTATGACACCACTTTAACTGCCATGGCTCCATCCTACAGAATCCTGGGAATTGTAGTTTTGTGAGGCACCAACACACTTTGGCAGAGAAGGTGAAAGGCCATGTAAACCTACAAATTCCAGAACTCCACAGAATGGAGCTACTGCACCTAAAGTGATTGTCAAACTGCATTAATTTGTACAGTGTAGATGCACTATGGAACGGCCCGCCGGAGGAGATCCGTCAATTGACATCACTGGACAGCTTCAAGAAGGC